TTTTTTAACTGCATTTCCTCCCTCCATATGCTCAATTTATAGATAAGTACAGAACTTTCTAGGATACATGGGCTGTTGGTGAGTTGAGCGCACATGGATGATGGATGGGAGCCTGACAATTTGAAGGTGATACCAAAATCACATAGCTGCTCTGATACCATTTGTAATGATCGGGCTGTGCTTCAATCAAAACCAATTGAAATAAACTAAAATCAGCGTTACATTAACTGGCAAATTCGTAAATGATCAGCTGGAAGTTAATACCCAAACTGTAATTACAATAACTGGAAGAACTTGAACAGAAATACAGATAAGATAGAGAAGAAGGAAGGGAGAATTCAGAGAATTAGGGAAGAAGAAAGGGGAATCCGAGACAAAGATTTAGAGAGAAAAGAGGGGGGATTTCGTTTTGCAACAAATTTTTTTTTTTAGAACTGCATTTCCTTCCTCCATGTGCTCAATTTATAGCTAGACACACAACTTTCTAGAATGCATGGGCTGTTTGTGAGTTTGGATGGGAGCCACGACACCTTAAAACCCGTAGGTGGTCTACTCGTCCCGAGGTACCGCAGCCCGAAACAGTTAGTATTCACTGGAGAAATTAACGAAGACACTGGAGACGGCAAATGAGACGAAGAAATCACAAGTTGACCCACTTTGTCCTTGTGGACGAAGCGATATTAAATTGGTTTCAAGATCCGACCTTGCTTGATGTTGGTGTCACAGAACAAACAGTAGAACCCTATTCCTTATTTTTTAAAAAAAATTATCAAAAATTTATCAAAATCTAATATTTTAATCAACCAACAGGACGAAAACTACCCATTTTTCCTTTTGATGCGACTATGGTTGACACAAACTGAAAATTTTATAAAATTTGCGAGAAAAAGAAGGATTTGTGATCTTGGATGCATTCTCCCAATAATTTATGGCTTTAGCTTGTGGACAAAAAAGTTGGGTTGTAGCCCATTGATAGATGTTTCTTGTTTTGGCCATGGAGATGGAGGATTAGGTTTCGAATTTTTATTATATTTCTTTGAAAAATTGGTATAATTAGTTCTTAGCCTTTAGCAAGCATGGAAAATTCGTCCTCAGCCTTCGCTTTTATTTTCATATTAGTATTATATTTCCTCACTTTAGATGCTCATACTATTTTTTGACAATACTTTGTTTTATTTATATTTTTATGCACAGCTAATCAAAAGTTGATTATTTTATGTTTCTCACCAAATTTTGTAATTTTAGGGATAATTGCAGCAAAAGTCCCAAACCTTTAAACTATTAGCAGGCTTTCTTCAAATCTTTGATTTGTTGCAGCTGTCACCCTTAACATTTCCAAATGTTGCACGTGAGGCCCTTTTGGATGGTTTCTATCAATTTCTCCGTCATTTGACAGCTAAAATAAAAAAAAATAACCACTTTATACCAAAATAGAGGAGGGAAAAATGGTAACTTACTACTTTTCCCATAAAATAATTAAAAAGATAGGCCCCAAAAAAAAAAAAAGGGGTACCCCCACACACAAACCCAACCCCTTAACCCAAAATCAAAAATCTGCCACCTCCATGCCCATGCCCATCGCCAACGATTACCACCACCACCACTACCTTGAACACCGTGAGCGCAACCCGTCAAGTGATCGCTACTAACAAGTTTAATGTTAAAAAGTGTGAAGATTTTGTCTGAGTCACAAAAGATGAGCTCTTAGAGCATTTCCCCGTGCAACTTGAATTTTTGAACAAAATCATATTTCATGTCATTTCTACTATTTAGACGTTTGGAATAAATTTCATGAAAAGCTGTTGTCGGCTCATTGGATCTGCCCGTGTTTCCCAAAGCACCATATTGTATCTCGTGAGTGGGATGTATTTCAACTCTTTAAAGAAATTTTTCGAAGTTGACTATAGGATAATTAGGCTGTGAGTGGCTGCATTTATTTGCTAGGTTCTATAACGGAGATTTGATGAAAAGTAGTGAATTTTGGCCCCTTTACCATTTTTCCTCCCCTCCTTTCTAAAACCTGCTTGTTGTGTTCTTGTATTCACATTTTGTTGAAAATAACTTGTATAGAATCAACAAGGAAATGGTGTTGACAGTGGTGGTGGGCGTGGCTATGGCAGACTTCTGGTTTTGGGTTGAGGGGTTGGGCTTGTGCGTGGGGTGAGGGTGAGGGTGAGGGAGAAGAATATACATTTTCCTTTTTCTTTTATTATTATTATTATTATTATTATTTGTTTTGGACCTCACTTTTTAATTAATTTATGGGAAAAGTAGTAAGTTACCATTTTGCCCTCCCCTATTTTGGTCGAAAGTGGTCAATTTTTTATTTTAGCGGTCAAATAACGGAGAAATGGATAGAAACCGTCCAAAAGGGCCTCACGTGCAACGTTTGGAAATGTTAATGTTTTAGGGAAAGTCTGCTAATGTTTTAAAGGTTTTGGATTTTTGCTGCAATTATCCCCGTAATTTTATTATCTTCCTCATATACTGTTATGTCTGTCAACTATTGCTATGTCATTGATCGTTGATTATAATAGATTATGGCATGTTCAATCTTTATAGTGAGAATCCGAGAAATTTGTCACATTTCGCGTTTGGATGGAGCACCAAAAATTTCAGATGCAGCCGAAAGTTGGATACCTAGTAGATAATCTATTCAATCANAAAAGTGAGGCCCAAAAAAAAAAAAAAAAAAGATACCCCCACGCACAAACCCAACCCCTTAACCCAAAACTAGAAATTTGCCACCGCCACGCTCATCGCCAACAACTACCACAACCACCACCACCACCACCGTGAACACCGTGAGCCCAACCCGTCAAGTGATCACTACCAACAAGTTTAATGTTAAAAAGTGAAGATTTTGTCTGAGTTACAAAAGATGAGCTCTTAGAGCATTTCCCCGAGCAACTTGAATTTCTGAACAAAATGATCATCAGCTGATATTTCATGTCATTTCTACTATTTAGACGCTTGGAATAAATTTCATGAAAATCTGTTGTCGGCTCATTGGATCTGTCTGTGTTTCCCAAAGCACCATATTGTATCTTGTGAGTGGGATGTTTTTCAACTCTTTAAAGAAATTTTTCGAAGTTGACTATAGGATAATTAGGCTGTGAGTGGCTGTGGCTGCATTTATTTGTAAGTGACCATTTTGCCCTCCCCTATTTTGGTCAAAAGTGGTCAACTTTTTATTTTAGCGGTCAAATGATGGAGAAATGGATAGAAACCGTCTAAAAGGGCCTCACGTGCAACGTTTGGAAATGTTAAGGGTGACGGCTGCAACAAATCAAAAATTTAGGAAAAGTCTGCTAATGTTTTAAAGGTTTCGGATTTTTGCTGCAATTATCCCGTAATTTTATTATCTTCCTCATATACTGTTATGTTGGTCAACTATTGCTGTCATTGATCGTTGAAAATAATAGCATCGACGATCGCCATAGACTCCTTAAACCAAAAATCTTGGCTCTGCCACTTCATGGAACCACCTAACAATTCAAAATTTTCTTTTAATCGGAGACCTAATAGATTATGGCGTGTTCAATCTTTATAGTGAGAGAATCCGAGAAATTTGGCACATTTCACGTTTGGATGGAGCACCAAAAATTTCAGATGCAGCCGAAAGTTGGAGACCTAGTAGATAATCTATTCAATCAATTGAAGTGAGAATCTAAGTATTTTGGCATCATGGGAATCTTGTTTGATCGATCCATAGTCGCTTGATGCTTGTTTATCGACTTGGCCGATCAATTTACTTTTCCTCAAATGCTATCCATGCTTCAATGATATAATGGTAATAGTTATTGGGCGTCTTCTATATTTATTTTGATATCTACACGTTGATGTATCTATTTTCTTGACTACATGACGTTGAAAAATTCGAAGTATATAACTACTCTTTTTTAGGTACATTTTTTAAGTGAAAGATGATTTTTTTAGAAAATATTTGATCGAAAAATTAGATTTTTTTTTTTTTTTGAATTGTATAGAATGTGTGGTTGAAAATATTTTGAATAAGAGATTATTTTAAAAAATCTTTGACAAACAAATTCTTCGATTAGATTCATCTAACCATAAATATATTAAACGATTTGAAGCACTAATTCATCTAATTATGCTTTGAATAAGTCGTCGAGTACACAAACCACACTTGTTGTTTTATTACTGAGCCCCTGTTTGGTGACCATTATTTTGGAAAAGAAATATTTTAAATAGTAATTTTTGGAGAATGTGTGATTACAAAGAAGAAAAAAATTGAGTCATGCTTGATGTACACTCTTTGGTGTATATCATGCATAACATTTCTCTCACAAAAGTGGGGGTCTATAATTTAAAAAATCATGTGCCCCACACACTTTTGTGAGAGGAGTGTTAAAGTTAATGTACACAAAAGTGTACAAATGACTTTTTCCAAAAAAGATTAGAATTTACGTGTTGAATATTTTATTGTGTGAGAATGATTACGTAGAAAAATAAAATTTTAAAAAAAATGAAAGAAAAACATGGCTTAACTTCAAAATTCTCTTATTTTTGGGAATTATCTATACGTTGATGTGTCCACTTTAAGTCGGCAAAACTTCAATATACTATATGCCAAATAAAGCTGAAAGTCAAAAATGTAAAGCTAATAGGCTAGAAACGAAGTCGAAAAGAAAAGTAGAGAAACAATAAACCAAAAAAAGAGGGACGCTACACGTGAAAGTCACGTGAAGATTCTTATTCGTTTCTGCAAAAATCAGATAATCCCAAATGCTAGATATGATTCATGTCCACAACATATTCGCCACGTTTACATATATTCCCATGCGTTGCAATACAACTAATAGATCGACTTCACCTCACCGGGATAGAGCTCGCCGGAGTTCTTGAGCCAACAAATTGGGTGCACTCAGGTGGGGTAAATGCCCCTCCACGTTCAACATATGCACCGTGCTCCGCCCTCCGAGGTGGTTCTTTAGGTACGTCGCCACAGATGTCGGGACAGACACATCCTTGGCGGTCTGAATTATTGAACATGGCACTTTTACTAGGCCTAGTACACCCCTTAGATCACTGTTAAATACCGTGCGAGAGACGAACAGCGATATGTCTGGCCTCATATTGAACAAAGTGCGGCTGAATTCTTGAACAGCCGCCGGAACATCCGCCCCCACCGCCAGCGGCGCAAACCCATTGACCCACGCCTCGTAATTGGCCTCCATTGCAGAGAACAATTTCTCAATTTCTCCGTATTCGAATCCGCCGTGGTAGTCTTTATCATTCAAGAACCTGGAAACATATAGGTTGAAGTCTCTCGAATATAGAATTGATGATTAATTTCGATCAATTTGGTCAAATAATCATGAATTACATGTTTGAAAATTGTGACACCACTTTATGGGAATTGAATTATTAAAACAAGAAAAGACACAAAAATTCCCATCTTTGGCCTAGAAAAAACCCCCTTCAACATTTCCTTTTTTTCTGTGGCAAAACAAATGAAACACATGCATATAGAATCAAGGTATTTAGCTACTTTATTGTAATTACCTTGGAGAGGCACCGATGAGGATAAGCTTAGTGAAGAGCTCAGGGCGTTTAATGGCGGCAAGAATCCCGATCATGGCCGAGACGGAGTGGCCGACATGGGCGCACTGGTTGACCCCAAGGGCGTCAAGGATGTGGATGAGGTCATCGACGTGCGCGTCAAGGGAGGTGTAACGGCGGAAATCAAAGAAATCCGGGTTAACACTACCGGCACAGACGAGGTCATAGAGCACGATACGATAATCGCTCAAGAAAAAGGGCAGAATGCGCTGCCATGCGGATTGATCAGTGCCGAAGCCATGGGCTAGGACGAGGATTTTCTCACCAGAGCCCACCACTCGAACGTTCAAGTCTCTCAGCACACTTTGTCCCATGTTTTGACAAAGAATATGGTTTAAGATTGGTAGAATGAGTGGTGGTTATGAGTTCACATGAATGAGCCACGGCCACTATTTGCACTAAATAATGTTGAGTGCGTGGGTGCGTGGGTGGGTGGGGGTGGAGGTTCGCATAATTTAATGCTCTATGGAGACTAGGTGTAGCATTTATAATAAGATTTACAAGTATCTATCTACTGGGTAGGTTCTTACTTTGGAAGTATATGCTAACATGACTGGGATTTTTTGTTTGAAAAGATAACAATTGATTCTATATTGTGTATTTTTTGGCGTCCAATTTTGTTATATGAGTGGGCGTTTGATGAATTTTAATTGACTATTGACAATAATTTCATGCATCATGTAAATAAACCCCTTCGACTCAAGTCTAGTTTGGTGTTCTTTTGTTGAAAAGAATAGCACAACAAAGAACTGTGACTGTTTTAAAGGCGAGAGAGGATGATTTGAACTTAGCACTATTTGGTATAAAATTAAAAGCACATTTTTTGGTAAATTTTGGATTTGCGAGTGAAAATATATATGAAATCTTCTTATTGGATGGGTTGTAGATGCTTCAAAAAGCATCTTCTTGTTTTATACATGCATGCTCCACTTTATTCATTGGGATAGAACACTATTCCTGTAATTGAATCATGTTAATTACAATTAGACGTCTAAATATACAAAACTTCACATAAAATGCACATACCTTAAAAAACACAAGTGTTTGTTTTCTGTATGATACAAAATTAGGGGATACAATCCATTGATTAAAACCCATCTCGCAATTTGAATAGGAACCTTAAACTAATTAAACTAAAAAAACCTTGATATTAGAATTAAATAAAAAAAATAAATTACCATAAACTAAGTCAAAAATTATTGGGTGCAATCGTGACGTGTATTATGGACACTTGAGACCATTTGAAGAGGGATAATGGTTGATCGAGATTTGGGATATGGTAGGGGAGCATGCAANAATAATATATTGCTTATGACAAATGTCGCAATAAAATTTGGAATATGTACGGCGAACCTAGATTGAACTAATCGATGACAAAATAGCAGTCCATTGTTCGCTTGCTAGGAACTCCATCATCTTTTATTTTATGCTTTTCTTTTTCACAAGGATTTTTTTTTTAAATTCAAATTTGAAATTAACAATTTTTAAATTTGTAATTGATAATTTTCGTATTCAAAATCACGTGTTATTAAGAGTTTGTTTGAGATACATTCTTTTGAAAGAATGTATTATTGAATAGTAGATTGATGGAGAATGTGTGTTTAAAAATGAAGGAAAAGTTATTGATGTGATGGAAAATATTATTTTATTGAAAAATGTGTGGTTAAAAATGAGTAGAAGAATGAAAATGAAAAAAAAAATGTGTACCAAACAGGGTCTGAATTGTAATTTAAGATAAAATAGTTTTGGATTAGTAGAGTTCTAAAAGGTATTAAAGACAATTCAAGAAAATCAAGAAACGAAAAAAGACGATCGCTTGTTGCATGTTAAGATGACGTTTGAGCGCTTATAACATGAGCATCATTGCTCGCAAGGCACGAGAGTATCGGAGTCACCGCTCCCTAGGCGCCGCGCTGTGCTCAAGCGGTGTATTTATCTGAGAAAAATCCTAATTCGATTTTAATAGTATTTTTCAATCATTTTTCATTCCAAACACTACCTATTATAAATATACGACCATAGGTTCGTTCCAAAATGTGTTTGGATCTTCAATAATATGAAATCTACAATGAAACAATGATTCAACACATTTTGGGATGGACCTATGGTTGTATATTTATAATAAGTAGTGTTTAGGTTAAAATATGATTGAAAAATACTGATAAAAAAGAAAAAGGATTCTGCTCGGATAAGTACATTGATCGAGTGTTGCGCTGGTGCCTAGGGGGTGGTGACACTGTCGCTCAAGCGTTGACTCCCGCTCAACGAGCGATGATGCTCCGTTCTGAGTGCTCAAGCGCCATCAAAAAAGCATAGCAAGCGATCATCTTTTCCCTTTTTTAATCTTCTAGAATTGTATTCGACTCCTTTTAGGAGTCTACCAACCTCAAACTATTTTGACTTAAATTACAATTCATAATTTTGAATAGGAAAATTGCCAATTACAAATTTAGAAATTACTAATTACAAATTTGGACCTAACAATCTTCCCTCTTGATATTCTATGACAAAAACATTTATTTCAAAATTTAAAGTCAACACAACCTAACACTATTTACCCTAAGACTTAATTTCCAAACTTCACTTCAACATTTTGTCACCCATTTCCTAAAACACACGAAAACAACTATACCATGTGAAAAGTAAGAGAAAATTGACAATTAAAAATATATAACTAAGTCATATTAAACAACATGAGTAAAACATGTATAACACCAAATCATGTAATACTATGTGCATCAATAACTTTTTTTTTGAATTCAACGAGGAACCATATATTCAAACCACAGCAAATGATGGATACATGGAGGAAAAACCTCCAATACTATGTTCTCCTAAGAGAGATTCAGTGCATCCTATGCAAGATACCAAAACAAAAAACAAACACAACACAAAAAAGACCAAAAAAACAAGCAGACTACAAACAGAATGAAACACCAAAACCAACCACCCACTCACAGGCCACAACCTCAACCAGCAGTAGGCAAGACAGCAAAGCAATGGAAGCCAAATCTGGGCGGAACCAAGACACTATCGAAGCTCTAACCCCAAACATGTCTCCCACAGCTAAAACACATGAAACCCGGAGCCAGAACCTTGGCCAGCGACATTGCCCAAACTGCAAACCAAAACCATGGCCAGTGATGAAGCGAATCGGAAACACAGGAGCAGCACACAGAGCCAACAAGTCACGACACCTGACCCAAGACAGGAAAGACGAAAAATACTCCAAAAACCTCAACAGAAACCAAAACCTCCAGACTCAAGAACTCCAAAAATCATCAAGACTCATCACGCACTTCACCAAATGGTGATAGGAGAACCAAAGAGACCGGAGAGAGCACCGGCGAAACAACACAACCAAGCCAAAATAGGGACCAACACGCCCCAGAAATCCGCAGGGAAGCTGACCAAACTGGTATCTGGCTGGGAGTAGATCTCACGAGAACGCATGCCCCCTCCAAGGATAGGGGCTGCCCAGTACTGTAGACACCCGAAAGGAGCAGAAACCGACGAGCAACCTAATGAAACCGCCACACCAACCAACGCACCACAAATTTACACCACCAATCACACTGCAACAAACAGAAAAAGACCACCAAAACAACTGAACAAGAAAAGAAAACACCAAAAACCAAAAGGAGAAACCAAGCTCGGGCCCAAAACCTTCACCAGATGAAGGAGATCCGAACTGATCGAGGGTGCCCAAACCCTCGACAGATCCAACAAAACCTCACCGCGAAAGCACGGCTGCGACGCAGCCTCTGACCCACCTGGGTCCCAAACCCACTCCATTCCACCACCTTTACAGGCCAACGACTGAGAGGACAAAACTAGGATTTTCCAAGGAAAATCCAAAAAGAAAACCCCACCCGCGAGAGGGAGGAAGGAAAACCTCACCTGCGAGAGAGAGGACTCGATCTCTAATAATCTTTCTTCTTCATGTGCATCAATAACTTAGAAATGAAATATAGAATATTAATATAAATATTGACAAAATATTAAACCCAATATCAATATTAAAATTTCAGAT